TTGTGCTCATTCTAAAGAAAAATGACCCAACAGAGCACTCAAATCATACAACAGTATAATTCAATACAATTTTACTGAAGGTCGTCCAATAATGCTGAGTCATATTAGCAAGTACAACAGGGTAGAATTGCCCCTATGAGTTTCTGGGATTGTTGGGGGAAGTGGAACTCATTCAAGATCTGCCTGAAGTGACAGAGGCTGAGACCAGTGGCACCAGAGGCTGCAGCGTGGAGACCATGGAACAGAGCAAAAGAGTCAGGCTGAGACCAAAGGCCCAAGTAACATAAAAAGCAGACCATAGGACAGAGCAGAGGAGCAGCTCTAAGACTATGGTACTGTGAGGCCAACAGACACAGACGCCAAGGGATTATGTGGCTGAGAGACATTGGCTGCTATCGATCGAAGACTGCATCCTTACTGTTACTGACCCTGGCTTGTGGTAACCTGTTAACTTCCCTAATAAACCCCCCAAATTGTGAGTTTTCTCTATGAAGTTTGTGTGGCCATTGTAACAAATTATGAAACCCAGCAGAAAATTAGTGTCATGGGCGGAATCGTTGGTGCCAGAATATGTAACAAAAATGAAGGGTCAAGATGGCGCCCAGGTAGAATCACCTGCCCAACACTCCTGCTGTCAGTCCAGAACATTAAGAGATAGGCATGTGAAGCACACTCAAGGAGAAAGCAACAGGACTGAGAGTTTCAGAGGGACTTGGGGAGAGAAGGGGGAAGGGAGTGGTGAGCAAACAACGCCATAGTCAGGGGAACAACTACGGAATTAAAATGAACAATGCGGAGGACATAGAGATCCTGGGGGTATGGAGCAACAGCAATCTAGCTGAGAGTAATTACTAAGTGCTAGAAGAAGGGGGAGCGTGATGGTGGGGCAGGAGGAAGATAAAAGAAAATGAGGAAAGATCTAGGAAACAAAACTATGGATAGAGGTATAAGCATAGATGTGTACATAAGTAAATACATTAATTAAAAAAAAAGAGGTATTGGCCTGTGTACATATATTTATATGGCAGTACACTGAGATAGTGGACTGACTTTCTACTGCTCGTGCCTTCCCTCAGTTCAATAACACTGTCTTCTAACAACCGGCTGCATAAGCAAAAGCTGATGGTGCCCAGCTATCAAAAGATATAACGTTTGGGGTCTTAAAGGTTTGAAGTTAAACAAGTGGCCATCTAGCAGAGAAGCAACAAGCCCACTTCAGTCTGTGCGATCATGAGGTGTCAACGGGATCGGGTAACAGGCATCAGAAGATTCAAAATCAACAAACAAAAACCATATTGTTGAGAACAAGGGAGGTCAGAGCAGAGATACCCAACCCATCTGTAGACAATGGGACATCCCCTCACAGGAGGGTTCCAAGGAAGGGATGAGTCAACCAGAGCACAGTATAGCACTGATTAAACACACAAGATTCCTCTGGTTCTTTGAGGCTTCCTCACCCCCCATTGTCACAACCCCAGTTCTGCTTTTCACTGCCAGCTAGACCAGAGCATGTGCACAGATACAGATACAGATAAGAAATAAGAACTCATGACACACAGAATCCAGGAACAGGAATGGGAGTAGTGATACCAGGAGTGTAGGGGGAAGGTGGGGAGAGGAGAGGAGGAAGAAGGAATGATCAACACATAACCACACACCCCTCCCCCGAGGAGGACAAACAACAGAAACCATGGGGGAAGGGAGACAGTGGTCAGTGTAAGATATGAAAATAATAATAATTTATCAACGGGTCATGAGGTCGGAGCAGATGAAGGGAAAACAAAGAGGAGCTGATGCCAAGGGCTCAATAGAAGGTAAATGTTTAGAAAATAATGATGGCAAATAATGATACTACAAATATGCTTGATACAATTGATGTATGGATTGTTATAACAGCTGTAAGAACCCCCAATAAAATAAAAATAAATAAATAAATAACAAAACCAGAGGGGGAAAAAGAAAATGGAATGTGGAAGTATGTCTCACTTCTGCCTCATGGCAATAGGGAGGTCAGATATGGCCTCCAGGCTATTTTTGCTTTGGACAGCTTGACTTTTAGCCAGGTGGAGCCAAGTGTGGATCTAATGGAGAAGACTAAATATCAGTTAAAGATTCTAGATTTTTGAATTGGATGAAGGCTGAATTTACTTCCTTGAGGAATGAATAGAATTAAGCGGTGAGAAGAAGAGAGCATGAGAACAGGTGGATGGCCAAAGGTCTGTTAACAAGTTCTGTCTCCACAGTATTGAATTGTAGTCATCTACCTGACTACCAGACTGAATTGTATTTCCCAGCCTTCCTTGCAATGAGAACATGACGAAGCTCTCCATAATGCCATGTAAGCAAAAGTGATAAATACATACTTCTAGATCTGGGGCTTTGGATCTTCGTGTTCGACTCTCCTGACCTAGATGAGATAGCAACCCTGTCTTAACAATACAGTTTCAATATGTTGACAGTGTCTTATGAACGAGCCAAACACCTTGACCATAGTCATCATGTTACCCTGAGGAGAAAAGCTACCCAGCACCAATCTGGACTGTGGCTATTCTGGGAGAAAGACAAATATGTTTGGTGTTGTTGTTTTTAAAACTTTAAGGCACCTAAATGTTAAGTCATTTTGTTACCATAATCTTCCTGTCTCTGCTGTATGGCTGATGCCAGAAATCTTCTTTTTCTTATACCTTGACCCTCTAGAAGTGTCTTTGACAAATACTTGAATGTGTGAGTGCACATGCCACTTTGTGCTTGAAACTATATTGGAGCCAATAACAACCTCGGGGATTGATTAGTACTGAGGGTGGAGAGTAGTGAGGGCTTATCCTAACACTTCTACTTTGCCTCCATACCCTGTGGAATGCTAGGATCAGCACTGGCCTCAAGCATCATCATACTATCAAAAACACATTCAAGTGGACTTTGTGGGCTCAAAAGTATGATCAAGAACAATGAACATAAGTGATTACACATTCTACAAAGAGAAAACAGGCTATCCTATAAACCTGCAAAGAGGTATCCAAACACCATTATGACCCTTAGCGTATCATTCACATTCAGGCTATAAAAGGGAAGAGGGAGTTTAATCAGCACCCAGAGAGGTTAGTTGGAAAGCTTTATATTTCCTGCTCGTTCCTCACTTGTCCTACTGTAAGCCACATGAGGAGAGTTTTCAGGATTCTACATTTTTAAGCCTGAACAGGAACAAACAAACTCAAACTTAGTGCCATTAAGTCAAAATGGAATGAGAAATTGAAGTTTTGATTTAGACTGATCTTTTTAATACCTAAAAATGAGACTGTTCATTTCTTACTGACCAGAGAAGCTATCAAATCTGCCTGAGTTATGCATCAGAGAAGAGAAAGTGTCAACATAATATGCTTAAAAGTCAATAGAGAAAAATATCCAATTGCTTTATCTGCTTGTATCCATGAAGTGCAGCTCATTGTGAACCTGGAGTGGACCAGGTATGGATGGCAATGTTTGCCTGGCTCACTATTACAATTCTACCAAGAACCAAGAATATGGAATTGCCCATACCACCCACTTCCAACAGCAATAGCATGTTACAGTTACAGCAAAAACAGGAGATTGATCTGATTTTTCTTTCTTCACAGTCAGAACAATTAGAACCAAGCCTTTAAACTGAGTTTGCACTAAGGGTTCCAGACATATCCTAGAATGAGGAACCTTGAGGATGGTTGAAAGATATCCCAGAACATTAGATTGCCTGAAATAGTTCATTTAAATACTCAGTGAGATGCATGATGTAGCTACCCTCTGGTCCTGAACAACCCAACTTCAGACTTTAAAAATATGAGCCATAAACTTATATCATATTTGATGAAATTCTATTTGATGTAGTATTTGTTATCTGTTAAAAACTACTTCCACTAAACAAGAAAAAATATAAATAAGTCTGTATGAAAATAGATGAAGGAAAACTGGAAATTCACAGAAGGAAGAAATAACTTGAGTAATTATCCAAGAAAAGTAATTTTAAGAAAAGAAACACAATATTCCATTTATCAGGTAGGCAAACTTTTAAAACACTAATCATATGTTGTTGGAAAGGTTCTGGAGAAAAAGATATTCTCATCAACACTGATGGGAGTATAACTTGGGAAAAACTTTTTGGAGACTAGGAACTAGTTGTGAAATTCAAAATATATTTGTATGAGTATGTGTGTGCCTATGTAATGTATAGAAAAAAGTCTGGAAGAATACATAACAAACTGAACATATTTTTACTGCTCAGGAAAAAAGGGAGCTGTAATTTTTGTATGTCGTTTTATTTAAATAAAAAAAAGCAAACATCTACACTGGTGTTTTAAAGAGTAAATAGGCACTACAAAATATTTTAATTGATTTATTTCCCTTTCAGACAGATGTGTTGGCTGGTCAGCACACATCACCCACTGACGTTTGAGTAAATGTTGGCAATCTGAACCTTCCTTTAATATGCTTGGCTCTATAGTCTTTCACATCCCAATGAAAAGAGGTTTCCTTAATTGGTAATTAAGGTCAGGGCGATGTAGTACATCCCTGGAAAGTATTGAATAAAATTTGTTTTTAGAACTTAAAGATTAAAAAAAAACTAATCTTAGGGAAAATGTTTTAAAATACATTAAGATAAATTTAAATTCGTAATAATGAATTCTCTTAGTAGCTTTTATCATTTCTTTTTGGCAGATACTGCCTTCAATTTTTAAACAAGTGTGCCAAGGAAATGACCTCCTGCTAACCCGTCCTAATGTGCTTGTCTATGTAGAGAGCAGCACTGATCCAAAGAAGCAGCAAGTCTTCCAAGAAACCTTTCTAATTTTTTTTTTAATTTCAAAGTTTTAAGAGAAAACCAGGTCATTTAAAGTGTCCAAAGATAATCTTACTTGGTCCTCAAAAGATAGAGCTTGAGCAACATCTCTTGGAAATCCATCAATAACAATACCCTCTTCATCAGGTATCTGCATCAGTTTCTGCTTTATTTCTGTAATTGTTGTTTCCTTTAACAGAGAAAGAATGAACGGAACCACTTAAGTTTAGTTCACTTAGAGCTGGTATCAAAATCTTTGAATAGGATAAAGTAGACAGGCGTACCTGTGGGGCCAATTCTCCAGTTGTAATTATTTTGGCAATAAGACTCCATTTCCTGTTGCTGCTGGTACTGTGGATCTTCTTTCTTAACAATTCTCCCACTGAAATGTACTGGAATCCATAGCGTTCTGCGATTTTCAAACTTTGAGTACCCTTTCCACTTCCTGGGCCACCTATTATTGAAGACAGGTAAAACTATGACCTTTTCATTGAAAAAAAAAAACCTCTAAGCAGGTGATAAATCTTCATCTTGTTGTCACTGGGTGCCTCAGTTAACGTGCTGGGCTGCTAACCAAAAGGCAGAAAGTTTGACAACACCCAGAGGTGCCTCGGAAGAAAGACCTGGCAACCTACGTCTGAAAAATCGCTCCCTGAAAACCAGATGGAGCACAGTGAGCCAAGTCAGGCACAAGGGCCACAAGTACCAGGGCAGCTAACTGTTACACTTGTGCCATTATTAGTGCTACCGGAGCAGCGCAAACACTAACCATATTAAGCTGCTAACTCAAGGGCTGGTAGTTCAAATGCACCTAGGAAGAAAGGTTTGGCAATCTGTTTCTGAAAAACCTGCCAGTTGAATCTCTACAGAGTACCATTCTACTTTATCACACATGGGGTCACCGAGAGTCACAGTCAAATCTTGGCGACTGGTTTTTACTGGGCAATGCTACCTCTGTCTCTGGAACAAATGGAGACTTAACCAAGGAATGTGTAGAACTGTCTTGACCCACTGTATGAAACGGAGACACTTTTCTACTCCTATTTTAGTAAATAACTTTTTTGCAATTTCGAACAATGCAATTATTATCTTTTTCTGTGTAAAGTCTAATGGTTATTTCTTTAAAAAATTTTTTTAAATTATTTTTTTTCTAATGGTTATTTCTAAAGAAAAGCTTATGGGATACAAAAGAAAATGAATGAAATCTCAGGTACATGTCCAATGCCAGCGAAGAGCTAATGTGCAGCTTAGTGAAATACAATAATTATTTTTATACACAAAGTACCCCAGGCCCAACAGTTTCAAACTGATGGCCTTACCTCCTTGACATTCAAAAAAAGTTTTATATCTTGAGCATGCAGACCTAATTGAAAAGGTCTTTAGGATAAAACCATTTCACAGAACTCATGATAACTTTAAGTTTATGATTCATTAGTATTAAATTATCAAAACTTTGCAATTTAACCAATTACTGATCTTTGGTTGTTGCTGTTATTACCTGTCTTCTAGTAGGTCCCTAGGAGCTCTGGTGGAGTAGTGGGTTACACTTTCATGTCATCCCTTGCATACTAAAAGGGATTGAGCTGCTAAAGTTGGTGGTTTGAACCCACTAGCTGCTTTGTTGGAGATGAGGTTGTTTACTCCCATAAAAATATAAAGTCTCAGAAACCCAAAGGGACAGTTCTACTCTGTCCTATGGGGTCACTATAAGTCAGAATTGACTAGATGGAAGTAAATGAGTAGGTCCCCAACCCACAGTGAGTCCATGTATGAGGGACTTAAATGCTCTCCAGTTCTGGAATATGCCCAGCCACTGACCCACTCCCATTCATATGGTTGTCATTGTAGTTTCAGAAGCAGATTGCCAGGACATTCTCCCTACTCTGATTTATTCTGCATGTGCTAGTTCAACCTCCATAGTGGTTATCAATTATCTGGGAATCAAAGCCAGGTTTCCTGCATAGAAAACAAGCATTCTACCACTGAATCACTAATGTCTCAATCACAGGTAATTATCTTAAAAAGAAAGACATAAACAGTGAAACACTCATAAAATATTAATACATTTGCCTCCTAATTTATTCCCAAACCACTTTAGATTAATTCTCTAGTAAATCGGTATTTCTGAACAATTTAGACTAACAAGAATTTAGAGACAAAATATATTTCAAACTAAAGCCCGCAGTACTCAGCCAAATGCGGGGTTATGTGATGGCAATGATCAAAATGAAACATTTTCAAGTGCTCTGACATAACTTACTGATTGCTGAGAAACCATTTTGAAAGTCAGTATCTATTAAACTGGAGTATTCTGGTAAAATTCCATCGACAAATAATGAAACTCTATTAAGAAATATTAAAAATTCAGTCATAAAATGAGCAGATGTTCTCACTACTAATTGAACACATCAGGTGTCTTGTGTGTTGAAGTCACTTTATATGCAATTGCTTAATAAATATTTCATTTTGTTGCAAAGACAAGTAAAAGAGAAATTAGTTATTTATTCATATAGTAACCAAAATAATCCTCCTGCTGCTGCTGTTTCTGGCCGCCCTCTCCCTCTTTGCCTCCTCCTTCTTATGACGAGAGTTCTGAATGGGTAAACTTGATCATGGCTTTTTGCAGCTTTAAAATTCTCATATAAAGGATTCTAAGAGAATGATAACCATTTCTTACCTCTGATGCTCATTAATAAACCTAATAATATCTAGCTTTCACCATGTTATTGCTTTATTAGATTTAGGGAAGAAATTTGTTTATAGTTTTTGAACATTCTTTTTCTGAGACCCTAAGTCCTACCCAATTAGACAAAGCACTATGAATTACCTATAGTAAGTTAAAATAAATTATTTGTAAATCACATATAAGATTTGGTTCCAATTCTGTGCTTTTGATCTCTTAGCATATGGACAAATCAGAAACTGGCTTGAGTAAATGAAATTACATGGCCAATTTCATCAAAAAATTCAAAAGGACTTCTAAAAAT